TTTAATCCTGGGTTAGCGTTAACCGGCTTCCGAACAATCCCGCCCTCTTTTCAACAAGTTAACCTGACATGAGCCCGCGATCCAATCGAAAACCAGCACTTGGTCAGCGATCAACTTCGAAAAACAAGTGACCTCGATGAGCTGTAAACCTGAGCCCGCGATATGGTCACGTGATACTGATCAGCGGACACCTTGTTTTGACAGGTGTCAATTGATCATAACATGGATGTCCAATATCAAAGAAGTACACGGTAAACAAAGGCAGCATGTTTCTGTCAACCTATTATTTGGAGTATGGCCGCCATGTTGCGCGACTCTATCGTCGTCGCCGCCGTCGTGCGTACGCGCCCACGAGCATTACCACTAGCCGTGATAACCATAAGAAAGTCAACTCGTGCGTTTTCTTTTCTTACCTATATGAGTATGGGGCTCCGCTTAGCCGCCCTTCGGGCCACCGGAGCTCCGCTAAAATGGGGTTGACTAGCCTACACGACCCCTACGGTTCGTGACATTTGTACATTTGTCGCTCTCTGTTCGGTCACTCGACCTTTTTGTTGCGTCACTCGTGTTTGTGAAGGGCACTTTACGTTGTGTTATAAGGAGTAATTTTTAAGTAGAGTTGAGCTGTTAGACCGTGGTATGTCATACTTGTAGATGTCATAGGTCTGTATGATTTCCGTTCTTATCTGCATGTCGCTTCGTGTTTAACACCTCTGTAATTTGCCATGTGCTTATGCATTGTGCTAGTTCTTTTATGTCACATCTGGTTCACCCAAAATTCATGTGTTATCCATTTTCGTATCCTTTTTTTTAATTATTTTTTTCCATGGAAATATCGATTGCCATAAAATATATTATCACCTAATTTCAATCTATCTTCAATCTTTATATTGATCCAGTTAAGGGACAACTGGTAAAAAGCTCATCGAAAATGTTTTGAATGGTCCAGTAAGAAATCTATCCAGACACTTTAATTAAGTCAAGCCCTTTAGGTGAGGCTATAAATTAATACGACATTGAACATTTTAAGTGTCTGTTCTCACAGGATTGTTGTGCTTAACTGGTTGAATATTGTTTTAAAAGGGGGCGGGAGAGGAGAGTTTAAGCGACAGAAAACTGTGGTGTTTTACCACAAATCTCGACGAGAAATCT